AAAGAAACAACTTCTGTTAGGCCAACCAGTAAGACATTACTGGTCTTAACAACCCTGACTTGCCAGTAGAATTACAGGGGACTAAAGACACAAAACTTCTGCTACAGCTTTCTGAAAACATGTGACTTCAGTTCTACTTTCTTCTCCCTTTTCTTTCATGGTGATTGTGGTGGGTTGACCCCAACCAGCACCCACCCAGCTGCTTGCCCACTCCAGCCCACCCCAGAAGGGGGGAGAGAACTGGAAGGCCAAAAGAAAGAAAAAACCACAGCCTGAGGTAAAGTTTAGCAGGTGGAGGAAAGAGCAAGTGATGCAAAGGCACTCACTGTCCCACCTACCCCCAGCCAGCCTCTGAGCAGGAGCTGCCTTGGGAACACTGTCCCCCAGCTCCTGCTGCTGAGTGCAGGGCATGGGGTGTTCCTGCAGCCAGCCCAGGTCAGCAGCCTGGCTGTGTCCCCTCCCAGGCTCTCTTCCACCCTTGTCTGCCTCCTGGGGTGAGGACAGGGTGGGGAAGAGAGGAGCCTTTGGTGCTGTGGTCCCAGATCTGACCCACAGCACCACGCAGCTGCTGGGAGCAAAGTCTCCTTCACCCCAGCCCAGGGAAACAACAGAGAGAAATAACCAGGGCTTGTGAAACTTTTGGTCTTTACTAAATATCTACAGCTTCTCAAATCCCATCTAGATATGACAACACATTGAGTTGTTCTCTTACCATTAGATATGCTCATTAGAAGCCAAAAATGGAAACTGAAGTTGTGTTTGCCCTCATTGTTTCCCTTAATTGATGCAGATGGAAAATCTTTTTCCTCTCTCACAAAAATGTCTGGTAGAAATAGTCCTCAAAATAAAGTCCAATGAAAACCTGATGGACAAAGCCTGGCAATGTATCTCCAACAAAGCAGAGGTGTAGGGCTGTAGGGCCTCTGTGATCATCTGCTCTGGTGTCTCTCCCTCTCAGATGGAGAAGAGAATGAGGAAGTATAGAAAAAATACTCCCAAACACTGCCCTAGACTACTCTGAGTCCCATAAACGTACTCAGACACCCAGAAAAAAAGAGGCTTTTCTTTAGCACAAAAAGGATATCTTCAGTTGCCAGCTGCAAAACCAAAGTTCCAACAATTTCAGTGCAATTGTATGAAAACAAAGAGCAGTCAGATTTGGTCTAGACTTCTTTTTAAGTTATGGGAAACTGTGATATTTGTGTTATGTGCCACGTGATATTTGACTGGAAATTCCTCTCATTACAAAAGGGACCCTCAAGAAACACATGCAATGAAAGTCCTTCCAAAAGGCCTGCGAGGGTCATTTAACCCCTAACCCCCCAGGGGTGAAAGGAGCACGTACCTTTGATGAACTCACTGATCTGGGTCTGCATGGGGCCCTTCTCCATGTTCTGCACCACGGCGTTGGCTATGCGGGTGAGGTGGCCCATGTTGCCCCTCCTCATGCCACCTTCTGCCCTGCAGAGAGAGCACAGCCAGTGGCAGGGCAGGCACCAGGGCTGGGGGCACGGGCAGAGCCTGCTGCCACCCTCACGGGCAGGGCAAGGGGGCTGCACCCTGAGCACCCTGGGGGGGGCAGAGGGAAGGGCTCACTCCTGCCCCGAGGAGCACGCCCGGTAGAGCTGGAGCCAGAGGGGAGGCTGATGGGCTGCACTGGAAACCTGCTGCAGGAATAAGCTGATTATCATTTCCACCAGGGAGAACTCACAGCAATAAGAGTTTACATCACTACTACTGAAAAAGCTTCGGAGCCTTACTTGCAATTGAAGTGTTAAGCAGCTGAATTCGGGAGAACAAAAGGCACTGATCTCCAACCATTGGCTCCCTCCCTCAACAAAAAGACATAAGAAGCTAACACCAAGTCCAAGCTCTCTAAGTCACTTTTCTTTGAGACTTCTGTGGTTCTCCTGCACTGGATAGCAAAGCAGCAATCTAAAAATCAGGGGATGAAGAGCCTGAAATAATTCTGCTTTTCACAGTATCCAAAGGGCTGATGAGATTTGGGGAGAAAATGTAAAGCCTGGTGGTAGATTCCTGTGAGAGCTTTCACAGCAGCACGCTCAGGAACAGCCTGTCTGCCTTTCAACTGGCAGGTGCTGAAAAGGAGCCCAGACAAAACTCTTACACCCAATGTTCTGACTGTACACACACTAAACTCTCCCCAGTCCCGAGGACAAACTCAGCAATGATTATTTCTTGGTGCAGCACAAGGAACACACTCCCTTCACCCCAGCCACCACAAGTCAAACTGGTGGGTCAGAATCAAACTGAACTAAAAGAAACCCCTTACAAGCAGGAGGACAAGTTCCACCTCATGTTACAACGTCTCCAGCTGCCAAACCAAAGGTTCCCTTCCCAGCTGCTAGCAGAGGCAGCAGTAACAGAGCAGGTAACAGAGCCCTTCCTTGTCCCTGGCAGTGAGGAGAGGCTAACCACAGCAGGGTGCACCTGGAGCTGCTCTGTCCTGCTCACCTGAACCCTCCTCTCCCTTCCTGGGCTCTGTGTGTGGCACTGAGCTCACAGGTTGAACAGCAGAGCCCTGGGACAGCACCAGCTCTCTTACAGCTCTCCTACAGCTGCATTTTCAGCTTTGCTTTTTTTTTTCTAACAACCTCCACAGCCTTTGAGAAGGGCAACTGTCACCTCCTGGATCTCTCAAAAGGGTAAGCTCACTCTGCCTCTCCTCAGGCTCTCCCCTCTGCTGGAGCTGAACATGCAGGTGAGGAACAGAGGGTTTGGGGGAAACCCTTTCTCACCCTTCCATGTGTTCCTGAACCAAAAACCAGAGTACAAATCCAATACAAATGGTAACTGTCCATGTGGCCTGTACTAAAGACAGCATCCTAACCCCAAATCCAGGGTTTAGGATTATTCCAGTGGACACCTAGCAAGGAGCCAGCAAACAAAGTCAGCTTCTGCTTCGTGGCTCTCAAACACTTTGCACCAACCCTGCCACAACTGGGGGTTAACACCTTTACAGGAACAGGAAGGCAAACAAAGATGTGCTGCAGGCAGCTGCTGTTTCCTCTCCACTCACACCAAGGATCAGACTTAGGGCAGTTTAAATTCTCATTACCCAGGCAGATCAAATGTACTGCAGTTAAACAATTACATGGGTGACCCAGAAGTTAAATTCCAGCAGTTACCAAGCCATTCATTGAGAATATATGGAATAACTCAGAGAACCCAAGGGAAAAAATTCATAGAATCATAGAATCAGTCTGGTTAGAAGACACCTTCAAGTTCATCAAGTCTAACTGATAGCCCAGCACTGCCAAATCACCACTGAACCACTTTAAAAAACTCCCTACAAAAATGCCATGTTCCAGACACAGAACACCACCCATTCTTACCACTGACTTTCAAGAAACAATTCCTGAGCTCTCAGTTTGGAATCTCTGACCCTGGGGCTCCCAGTGCCTGACTCCATCTCCCCACTGAGTCCACACAATCTCCACAGAAACTCAATCTTCCTAATGCACACGAGGAGACACCTCTTGGCTGCTTGGTATTTTTTTCTTCCCATTAAAATTCTTTCCAGTGTGGTGACTGGAACTGCCTGGCCTGAAATATGTATGAGCTCTAGACCTTATCTAATTTAATTAGGAAAACTCTTAAGCAGCAACCATGGACATTTCTGTTACCTATTCAACTATGCACAGTGATGGTTGGGCAATGAACCTATCAGTGAAATCCCCTTATCAACAGCCCAAGGGGCTGTGAGACCAAAAAAGAAAAGAAAATCCAAACTAAATTTAAAAAATGAAACCAAACCCCAACCCACCCACGACAGCCTGTCAGTCAGCCTGGAAGAATCACTATTAACTAGAGAACACTTTGAAGCCATTAAGAGGTCAAAATAGTGAAGGAGAACCAAAATATCTAGATGGACAAAGAATTGTATAACCACAGGATGGCTGAGGTTGGAAGGGACCCTAGAGATGATCCAGTCCCACCTCCCAGCCATGGGCAGGGGTGTCTCTCACCTAGACCAGGCTGCTCAAGGCCTCACCCAACCTGGTCTTGATACCTCCAGGGAGTGGCATCCACAGCCTCTCTGGGGAGCCCATCCCAGAGCCTTGCCACCCTCATGCTGGAGAATTTCTTCCCAAGATCTACTCTAAACCTCCTCTCTTTAGTTTAAAACTGTTTCCATTATATGCCTGTTTGGTGAATTTGGGTTTTAATATGGAAATAAGACTAATTCCAAATCTTAATTGAAATCCAAATTATTTTAGACACCATTAAACTGTAAATTATCCAAATAATATTTCGAGGCAATGCTCTAAATCCACAGCCCTGGAACAAGGTGCTTCCAAACAGAAATCCCTTACTGTATTTTGTCATTGGCTTCCCAGGCGTCCAGTATCCTCTGCACGAGGCAGCACTTCTGGAACAGCTGCAGGGCAAAACAAGAGACAGGAGAACACTTCAGGAGTCTGCCAAGGTCAGCTTCATGCCCTAGGAAGCCTGCACTGAACTGTAGCTGCTGCTGTCCATTCTTTCACTCTTACTGGACAAGAACTTCCAACTCAGCCTTTCCCAGGAGCTCAAGTTTCTTCTGTCTCAATTTTTTTTCTCAGAAGATGCAGGGAAAACAGCAATAGCTCTGAACACCTCTCTGCTTTTGGGCTCCACACAAGCAGTAACAAGGAACACTGGTGCCATGTTACAAACACAACAAGTTTTCACCACTGGGGCCTGATGCAGAAGCTCAAATGTAGCTACCTAGTCATAGTATTATTTTTGTCCAAAGTTTATCCACATCTTTACTAAAATAATTAAATACAAATGGACCCACAAGCCCATTAAATGAGATGGGTGGTGTGTTTGTTTTGCAATGGGATGCTAAGGGCAAATGTACAAAAGCAAACACCTCCCTGCAGATCTGACAGAACCAAGCTGTACTTAGCCACTAACCAAACCCCACGCTCTTGCTGAGGCACCTGAGGCTGAACCAAGCAGCCTCCAGTCCCCAGGGCACAGCTCCAGGCTTACATGAGTGACCATGATATTCTCAGGACTGCTCTCCGGGGTCTCCGAGTTCTCCGTGGCCACGTTCCCATTCAGCACCTCTTCTTTGCTTTCTGGGTCATTAGTAGTAGTTTTCCCCTCTTGCACAGAGTGTGAGAGAATAGCTGCTATGGACAATTCCACTTGGAAATGCAAAAAGTTATTCCACGTGTATTTAAAAAATAAGTCCTGGAGGAACAAAAATGAGAAAAACCAATTCACTCTAGATACAACTTCCTGCTTTGAACAAGCAAATTATATCAGGACATTGTCCAAGCAACTGTTTAATCAACAATTTCACTAGAACAAGTTTACTTCTGAGCCTCAGTACCCACTCAGAGCTGAACGTGCTCTGTTTGCTCTGCTCTGATGCAGGATCTCCTACTGACGGGGCACGTGGAAATTCTCTGGTGCACTGCTGGGGCTCAGAGCACAGACACACTGGGAAAAAAGGTCATCTACTCTGTGGCTGAACTGATCAGAAATTAGTTAGTATTTTTCTTACAAGTATCAGAACAATGTCCTGAAGGACTGCCCAGGTCCTAAGGGCAGCTTTCAGACCATGTCCCTGTTCACAGCCAGGCAGAGACCAGCTCCCAGCACTGACAGACAGCACACCCGAGCTCTCTGCATGACCAGGCTGTTTGCATGCACACCACTAAACCCCTGTGACTATTGATTTGAAGCATGAGGTTGAGTTCAAACTCCTAAGCAGCTGTATTTGTATTACAAAAGCCATTCTGAGGAGGGACTCCTCGTTTCAGCAGATTAGAAAAATAATTAGGCGCTGGCACCCGTGAGGCAAAGTGCCTTGTGCTGGAGAGATGAAAGGGAAACCAAACGTGCTCCTGGGGTGAAGCTGCCCCCCTGCTCCCCATTCCCAGGGCCACCCAGGTTTACTCACAAGTAATAAATCCATGGTACTGAGTCTGCATAGTTCCTGGTTAATACTGGGAGTGTTGGTGTGGAGCAGAGCAGCTATCAGGCGGGAGCCGTGGAGACGCGCGTTGCCCAGGGGCTCCTCCAGGACCCCGATGGTGGTCAGGATTGCTGTTTTCTGTCAGAGGAACAGGCAAGGAGCACCTCAGCCAAGCTCAACCTTTCCTTCAGCTGACATGCACAAGGATTTGACACCACGGAGTCTGTCTCAAATATTCTCTGCAGGGGAACCTAAGCCATCTTCTCACTCAGAGGACGGCGTTGCGTAACCACTGTGAAACTTTTGCTTCCAAAACTGAAGATTAAAATCAAAATAGCAACTAAGAGTTCCTTTCTCTTCACCTCCTACCCATCTTTACAGAAGCCACTGGTCCCCAATGGATCTCTGCTTCTTGGTTTGACTCAAATACAATGGCTTTCAAAGTTCCCACTGCCTAGTCCCTAAGCACCTGAATTACAAACTCTTAAACATGAATTTTTCTTCAAAAAACGTTTGCCTGTTCCAGGGTACAGGGCTTCCAAAAAAGAGACAGGCAGCCTGGGCACAAGGAAAGGGAAACCCTGGGATCAGGTGAGGAGCCCTCTGCTGCTGAGAGGGGCTGGGATGCTTTACCTTGGGAGGGCTGAGCAGCAGCTGGTGGAAATCCTTTAGCCTTGGTTCAATACCGTGTAAGATGCTGCTGTTGACAGTGTAAGACCTTTCAAATCCCTGAGTGTATGAGTCCATCAGTCCTTCCACTCTGCAAAGAAAAGCACAACAGTTCAGAGCTGACAAACCCCCAGAATGGCCTCCAGTCACACTGCCCATCTGGCTCATCTTCTCTTGAAAAATAACAACGGATATAAAAAATGATCATTTCCAGCTACTGAATATATTTACATAATTGAATTATATTAATACACCATTCACAAGATGATATTCACGTAATCAGAGTTGTGAATGAGATGAGTGGGAAGCCAGAACAAGCTGCCTGCAGAGCTCACAAAGTACTGGAGTCAACAGCAGTCCCACACTGGAATAAAAGGAACACTTTCAGTGCAGCATGGAAATGTAACTCCAGCAAGGCAGGAAGGGGCTGGACAGGAGCCCCTGAGCCTCCAGCTCCTGGGTCTTCAGAGATCCCGGGCACACAAGACAGCACAATTAGGGTCTCCACTTTTCCATTTTAACCCTGCACATCATTGTCTGACTGTCAACTTGTTTGCCCAGTGCCACCTCCTGTCCTCTCTCCAGCACCTCCTCCTGCTCTACATTACCTCCTTCACCTTCCTTATTAGCTCCTTTTTTAAGAACTGCCATTTTCATTGTCTCTCTTTCTCCCCAGAACTCTATTTTTACTTTTCTCTCCTTTATCTCCATAAAAAGAAATAAAGGGCGGATATAAATTTAAAAACCAAAATTTTAACTGCACAGCCATATATAGAGATCTATCTGCAGACCTCACCACCCAGCCTGTTCTGAGGCAGCACTTCCTCCCCCACACCACACCACACACACTCTGCTGTAAGATCCTGGCTGTTTCAGACAACACTTTGCTGTACACGTGCACGAGAAGCTGAAGAGCCCCCTGGAGAACCCCCTGGAGAGCCCCCCAAAGGGCCCAGCTGCCACCTGGTCCAACTGCCAAGAGGTGCAGCTACTGCATCAAAGAACCCCCACAGCTTTTCTTGCACTTATTTCTAGATTGTGCTTCACACCATGCTGAGAAAATCTCCTTTTTTTGCCTAAGTAGCCTAGATGGGAGCTCCTGAACCTGCCCTGGCTGGGGCAGAAGTCCCAACTCACCCAGAGCGCCTCGTTTCCAGCAAGGTTAGAAGAACTTGTGTCCCATTCACTATGCAGTTTTCAGTCTGCTCTCCATCAAACATATTCTTCAGGAGTTGCTCCACACATTCCTGCCTGTTGATCAACATACACACATTAGCAGTCTAAGAATTAGAAGCATCTGGCAGTTGATTTAATCACAAAATACCCATTTCTGGGTCTTCTAGAGAAAAGGCTGCAAGGTTTGGTTTTGGTTTGTTTGTCTCAGAAAGAATACAGACACTCCCCTCTGAAGTCTCAGTGATGAGGATGGTTCTGCACCAGGTTTCTGAACCTGCTTACTCTTCACCAAGGCAAGGCCTGGTGACAGACACAATGGCTCCAAACCCAACTCACTCTCCTTCATCGACAGCATATACCTCTTAGTTACAGGCTGGAAGACAACTCAAGTGGTGACTCAGTCAATTTAATTAAGGACAACATGAAGCTATTAGTTGATAGCCTAAAATTATCCATTAGCATTGCAGAGGGAAGACAATGAGCAGTGGAAGCTGACCCTTATTTGCCAGTGACACAGGAAGACCCAGGATCTGGAAAGAGAGGCCAAAGGCAAGCTGTAAATAATATGCACAGCTTTAGCAGTCTTAGCTTATCCTCTTGAAATACTTTAATCAGTTCATCTTCTCTCTGAGCCCTCATATATGTCACAATAAGACACCTTCCAACTCCTGACAGGCCTGGGGCCAGGTGGAGAGATCAGCAGTGAAGTGTTGAAGGCTGCTGGAGTCAGAACAAACAGAGACATTGGTTCTTTCCAGCACTAAAACCATTCTCTCAGGGCTTTAGGACTGAATAATCAGTACAAAGCTAACAGCCCACTTCTCTGCTCCTTGCCATGCTAAGTGAACAGGAGATATGAGGAAGAGGAGGCCCTGGCCAGTGCTGTCACCCCTCTGCAGTCACCTGGCTGCAGCAGCATCTGCTCCCCTGCTGGGTTCCCATTCTGCCCCCAGGCTGACTCTGCAGATGCTGCTGACAGCTCTCCAAAATCCTGTACTCATCAAGTGCCTTTCTTGGCTTGCTAAGTCACATGTCCAGCTAAAACCAGCATTACTCACGTTCATGGCCTCATTTCTACTATTTTCTAACATTTGAAAAAATCTCATTTACATTTGTATAAATAAAATATGAGATAAAGATGTAAAATAAATGAATAATTCATGGGATAAAATTATTTTAATAAGTAGCATCTAAATACACCCCATCAGCACGAGAGGCAGAGGTAGGAAAAAGCAGCAGCAGCTTATTGTGATTAACTGAATTCACTTCTATTGCACCCAGCCAACAGTTATCAAAAATGTAGATGTGAGATTTATTCCATAACCCTGATCATGGCTCCTTCTGGCTGCACTAGCTGATCATTCATGATTCATTAAAAAAAAAAGAGTTAGCCCAAGATCCAAAAGCAGTTATCAGTAATGCTTGGAAAAATAGGCCAAGGAAAGCACTGAGATATGTGACCTTCAGCAGAGAGCCAAGTCCTGCAAAAACTCACTTTTATTGAGAACATTTTCCCTTCTAAGCAGTGAAGTCCTGTAAGAACTCTGAAAAATGCTCCTGGAAAGCACAAAACCATTTGTATTTATCTCCTGTGAGTTACAGGGAGGGCTTGAAAATGTGCCCAGAAGGCCAAAGGCATCCTGGGGGGACTCGAGCAGTCAGCAGGACTGGAGAAGTGATGGTGCCACTGGACTGCACTGGGGAGGCTGCACCTGGAGCACTGGGGTCACTTTGGGGCATCACAGGACAAGGAGGATGTTGAGGTTCTGGAGAGGGTGCAGAGAAGAGCAACAAAGCTGCTGAAGGGTCTTGAGGATTATGAGGAGCTCCTGAGGGAGCTGGGGTTGTTTAGCCTGGAGAAGAGGAGGCTGAGGGGTGACTTCATCCCTGTACAGCTCCCTGACAGGAGGCTGTAGGGAGGTGGGTGGTGGCCTCTCCTTACATGCCACAGCTGACAGGACAAGAGGAGATGCTGTTGTTATGCCGGGGGGGTGTAGGTTAGACATGAGGAGAAACTCCTGCACCAAAAGGGTTCCCAAGGGCTGGAAGAGGCTGCCCAGGGCAGTGGCTGAATCACCATCCCTGGCTGTCCATCCCTGCATGTATTTCAGAGCTGTCTGCATGGGCTGCTCAGGGGTGTGGTGGAGAAGGGGCCTGGGAGAGAGAGAGAATGGTTGGACTCCATCTAAAGGGTCCTTTCCAACCACAGCAATTCTGTGAGAAAGTCTAAAACCACTGAGGAAGTCTAGAATTACCCCAAAATTCTGAAGGAACCACCTTCTTCATGGCCAACCACATCCACCCACGACTCTGGGCTTCCCAGGTGAGATGACCAAACTGGAGGCTCATCTCCAAACTTTAAAGGGCTCAAAAAACTGACACACAGACTTGATGAGGTGCCGAAGGCTCCCCACCAAAAATCTGCACCAAAAATTGTGCTATTTGGCAATGAAATTATTGCAGGGCATGGGGCAAAGGGCCAGATGTGCCTTATTTCTGCAGGCACAGCATTTCAGACCAAGTCTGGCTTCCACCTCCACACAGCTCCTGCCCCAACAAGTCCCCATGAGACTAACTGACACACAGACTTGATGAGGTGCCGAAGGCTCCCCACCAAAAATCTGCACCAAAAATTGTGCTATTTGGCAATGAAATTATTGCAGGGCATGGGGCAAAGGGCCAGATGTGCCTTATTTCTGCAGGCACAGCATTTCAGACCAAGTCTGGCTTCCACCTCCACACAGCTCCTGCCCCAACAAGTCCCCATGAGACTCATGTATGAACTGATAGCTCAGAATCA